TTCCTGCTCGGCCTGCTGTGTTCATCTAGCTCTACACCTTGTTATCTTGGATTCTCCAGCATCTGCAGTGCCTACTATCTCTTCTTCTGATTTAAGTTGGCTTACTGAAAAGAATAGAAAGAGCAAAAAACTCAAAACTCAGTTCTGAGGAAGGGTCACCGGACCCGAAGCATTAACTCTGATTTTTTCTGCATAGGTGCTGTCAGACCTGCTGAGCTTCCAGCAACTTCTTGTTTTTTGTTCCTGATTTACAGCATTCGCAGTTCTTTCGGTTTTATTAGAACAGAAAGAGCTCCTGGCTGGTGGAGATCTGCTATTCTCTCTGCCTATTGCTCCCAATCCCAAGCTGTACATTTACCTGCTAATCAACCACATAGCTACTGGCAGGCAAAAAGCCTTTGTCATCAATGACTGGTCACTAGTCTATAAACCAACCAAGCTCTTGCTGCCAGCCAAAGCTTCACCTGAATACTGAACCCCTCTACTTCAGTGTATCCGCAATTAACTTCAATCACTATTTCTTCAAGCAGCTGTTTAAATGATGCTTGTTATGAATGTCAGGTTACTTGATTTTCAAAACATCATTGCAAAACATCAGTTTGAAAAAACAGTTCTTTCTAATTTCAGTTCACAATTTGAAAAAAAAACACAAAAATGAAGACATATTGTTCATATATGTATATAATATACACAAAGAGTAGAATGCTCTTGAATATGTTACTGAGCTTCATTTAAACATCTATTTACATCATATTTACTGTGTTCTCTTTGTATATCCAAATAGTTACTTCTTCAAATAATCTAAAGAAAGCAAGTAAACCTTAGTTGCATTTAAATAATTTTTCTCCATATTTCCAATGGCTCCATTACAAAAATGCACAAGTGGACTGGTGGACCTACCTTGAAAGTTTGTGGGAGGAAAGCTCCACCACAAATAACACCATGAATTAGCAAAAGAGAAATTCAAGAAGGGATTTTTTTATATAGATGACGCTTAAGTAAAAATATTTGCAATACCTTAATTGTTGTGTCTCTGTCTTCTATCCATAACATCTTAAATTTTTGAAAACGTTCTAGTGAACTGGTGATGGTATCCCTCAATGAGGTGACAGAAGCAGACAGTATTGCGACTAATTTGTTTACATCTTTGTGTTCTGCTACATTGTGATAGAAGTTCTTCAACGTTTTTATATTTTTGTTTTCCACTGTTTCTGTTCAAGAGAACAAAATTAACAACTTGACAACCACAAAATAGATTATTTGTTTATCTATTGCCGATCATTGTTTAAAATTGAGAAGCCATTTAATTTGGCATTCCTTCCCTGCTGATAAAAGTGTCAATGGATAAAACCCAGTCAACTTAACTAAAAATGTTCACATTAAGTCCATAATAATGCCACAAGAAGTTGGAACAGGTTTAGGCTGCCTGGCCACTTGTCTGCTCTGCTATTTAATGGAATCATGGCTGATCTGACATTCCTCATGTTCACTTTCCTGCCCTTTCCCTGTAACCCCTGATTCCTCTACTGATCAAGAATCTATCTCAGTCTTAATTATACATAAGGACCCTGCTCCCACAGCTCTGTGACAGTGAGTTCCTAGAATCTCCCATGAAGGGAAACATCCTCTCAGGAAATGCTGCTGGTAAATCATGGCCCTTTGTCTGTGACCAGCACTTCCAGGAGCCCGTTTATTGCAAAAAGATGCTGGCAGCTTTTCTGTTGTCATTCTCATGTTTGAAGAATGATCTTTATGTATCCCCAACCAATTTGCGTCGGTGCCCACAATGACTAAAAATGTTGCTCACATGAAAAGACTGTCATAGTCGACTTGTAACCGCATCCACGGTTTACCTGGTCAATCCCACAAATGTGGGGGAGCTGCTGGCAGTAATTTTTGCCCTTGTTGGCACTCTGAGCACTGCCCACCAATGTGGCTATGCCTGCATCAATCTTGGCTACCAGACATAATCTTCTCGCCAACATCTTGATTTTGGACACCCCTGGATGACCCTGGTGGAGTTCGGCCAGTATCTGGGGGGCAATCTTTGCTTAGGACAAACACTCTTACTCTCTATAATAGAATGTTGTCTTCTACAGTGATCTGGTCTCACCAGGTCCAGAGAGGTTTCAATTCTGGTTTTGATGGTCCTTTTGATTCCCTCATCACCACCAGCTGTTTTAGTTTTGCCAGGATGGGATCTTTTTGCATCCACAGTCTGATATTGTCAGCTGTGACCAGAAGGGTGTCCAGAAAGACTAAAACCAGAACAGACTCTTCCAGTTGTGGCACCACCAGTGGTATATCTGCCAGTGGGAGCCGGCTTAAGGCACGTACATTTGCTATTTTGCCTCCTGGATGGTGTTCCAACTTGTGTGCATTTAAAATGAGAGCCCGCTGCTGAATTCGATCTGAAGGTAGGGGCAGAACAGCCTTGTCCTCTTTAAGTAGCCCTAGCAGAGGTTTGTGGTCTGTTACTATTACAAATTTATGTCCTTAAAGGTATTAGTGGAATTTTCTCACACCAAAGTAACCGCCAAACTTTCCTTCTCTATCTGGCATATTTGTGCTCTGCATCAGCCAAAGGCTGGGAAGGAAATGCTATCGGGCATTCCTGTTCATTTGACCTTCTGTGAGCCAACACTACCCCGATACTATATAGGGAAGCATCACATATCACCGCGAGATCACGCTTGAGATCACACTGTTGCAACATCTTAGACGATCATATCTACTTCTTCGTTTGCCTAAAGCCTACATCTTGGCAAGGAGACCATTTTCAAGGCTGCTGCTTTTTCATAGAAGACGTAAGGCAGTCAGGATGGAGGCCACGTTGCGTATGAACCTTCTGTAATAATTCACCAATTCTCGGAAAGACCTAAACTGGGGCACATTTTATCGCCCCCACTTTATCTTCCAATGGGTGTAACCCGGCCTTTTTGACTCTGAAGACTACTGGGGTAGACCTTGTAAGATGTTCTCCACTGTCCACTGAAAAATGGCACAGGCTGGTGTTACCCTAAAATGGCACGTTTATATATTGGTACAAATCCTTATGGATATTGATTGTAGCATACTTTTGAGAATCCTCAGCAAACTGCAATTGCAAATACGCATGGCTCATGTCCATGGCTTTGTGAAGGACAGCGAAACCCTTCCCCCACCAGCTTTGTGTATAAGTCCTCTATGCGGGGTACTGGGATTTATCCAGCTATGAGAAGTGGTTTATCATCTGTTTAAAATCTGCTCAAAGGCAAACCGACCCATCAGGCTTCACAATCGGTACGACTGGTGCTGCCCATTCCTCAAACTGTACTAGTTTGATGATTCCTTCATTTTCCAGCCTCTTCATTTCTGCCTCTACATTTGCATGTAGGGCAAATGGCATTGAGCAGGCCTTGCAAAATCATGGAATTGCTTCCTGATTAATGTGTGTGGTGGCCTTAGCTCCTTTGATAGTCCCTAAATCTTCCTGAAAAACATCAGGCTATTTAATTAGGACTTCACTCAGGCAGCTATTTTCTAATTGAAAAATACTGAGCCAATAAAGGTGAATTGTTCTCAATCAATTTTGTCCCATCAAGCTTGAGCCTTTCACTACAACCAGTGGTAACTTAACCAGCTACTTCTCATACGAGACCAGAACCGAAATTATTCCCTTCATCTGTAAAGCTTCCCTGGTATAGTTCTCAGTCTAGCTGAGGTCAAACTTAAGGGTTGGAGTCTACAGGAATTTTGTTAAAGACTCATTCTGCAATCACTGATGCAGCTGCACGAGTATCAACCTCCATTACAATTGAATGACCATTTAAACAGACATTTATTTTGATTGGTTCTGATTTGGATGTTGCTAAGCAAATTAACTGTTGCAAGCCAAATGTAGATGGGCTTTCCAGGGTCTGCACTCTCCTGGATACCGGACTATGGACTCTCTTACTCAATACAGGCCTAGTGTGACTCTTTCGCTGTCTCAAGTCCACACACCGGCAGGAACTACAATGGCTTGCCAACCTGCATCCTGAATAAAATGTTAACCATTTGGTCGAGGCGGGTTTGTGTGCTGATCTAGCATTCCTCTGTTCAGGATATGACCTGAATGACGCCATGCAATTGGCTTCACTCAAGTGGTGTCCCCCAAGCTCAGTCGGCCTGACGAGCGTGTCCACATCCACTGTCATACCTTGCAACTCATATGTTACACTTGCCACATTTTTTAATGACAAACTCAGTTGTAGTGCCTGTTTGAAGTCGAGTTGGGCTTCAGCTAGTAGGCATTTTTGCAGGTTCACAGCAATAATCTCACATACCAAATAGTCCCTCAGTATCTCATTAAGGGTCAAACCAAAGTCACATGCCTCTGCCAGTTATCTTAACGTTGTCACAGTGGAGGACACAAATAGCTTGCCAGTAATTGAGGACAAAGAGATTAAAGGTAGGTGAGGACCTAGACACAATCATTATCACAAAAGAGGTAGTGTTGGGCAAGCTAATGGAGCTAAAGGTAGACAAGTCTCCTGGCCCTGACGGAATGCATCCCAGGGTATTAAAAGAGATGGTGGGAGTAATAGCAAATGCACTTATCATAATTCTCCAAAGTTCGCTGGATTCTGGAACAGTCTCAGCAGGTTGGAAAACAGCAAACGTGATGCCACTGTTCATAAAAACGAGGTAGACAAAACATGGGGTATTATACACTGGTTAGCTTAACTTCTGTAGTGGGGAAAATGCTTGAATCTATCATCAAGGATAAAATAGCAAGAAATCTAGATAGAAATTGTCCCATTGGGCGGATGCAGCATGGATTCATGAAAGGCAGATCATGCTTAACTAATTTGCTGGAATTGTATGAAGACATTACGAGCATGGTGGACAACAGGGATTCAGTAGATGTGGTGTATCCGGATTTTCAAAAGGGTTTTGACAAGGTCCCGCAAAAATGGCTGCTGCATAAGATAAATGTGCACGGCATTGCAGGCAATGTATTGGCATGGGTCGAGGATTGGTTAACTAACATGACAAAAGAACGGGGGTAAATGAATGCTTTTCTGGTTGGCGAACAGTGACAAGTGGTGTGCCTCAGGGATCAGTGCTAGGTCTGCAATTGTTTATAATTTACGTAGATGATTTGGAGTTGGGGACAACGTGTCGTGTGTCAAAGTTTGCGGATGACACTAAGATGAGTGGTAGATCAAAGTGTGCAGAGGACTCTGAAAGTTTGCAGAGGGATATAGATAGTTCAAGTGAGTGGGCAAAGGTCTGGTAGATGGAATTCAATGTTGATAATTGTGAAGTCATCCATTTTAGTAGGAATAACATTAAAAAAATTGCAGCATCCTGCTGTGCAGAGGGACCTGGGTAACTTTGTGCATGAATTGCAAAAGGTTGGTTTGCAGGCACAACATGTAATTAAGAAGGCAGATGGAATTTTGTCCTTCATTGTGAAAGGGATTGAGTTTAAAATCAGGGAGGTTATGTTGCAGCTGTACATGGTATCGGTGAGGCCACACTTGGAGTACTGCGTGCAGTTTTGGTCTCCTTACTTGAGAAAGGATGTGCTGGCACTGGGGGGTTGCAGGGGAGATTCACTAGGTTGATTCCAGAGTTAAGAGGGTTGGTTTATGGGATTAGACTAGGATTATATTCATTGGAATTTAGAAGAATGAGGGGGGAATCTTATAGAAACATATAAAATTATGAAGGGCATAGATAAGATAGAAGCAGAGAGGTTGTTTCCACTGGCAGGTGGAACTAGAACAAGAAGGCCTCAAAATTAGGGGGACCAGATATAGGACTGAATTGAGGAGGAACTTCCTCAACCATAGGGTTGTGAATCTTTGGAATTCCCTGGTCAGTGAAGTAGTTGAGGCTTCCTCATTGAATGTCTTTAAAGCTAAGGTAGATAATTTTTTGAACAGTAAAGGAATTAAGGGTTATGGTAAGAGGGTAGGTAAGAGAGAGGCCATGAAAAGATCAGCCATAATCTTATTGAATGGCGGTGCAGGCTCGAAGGGCCAGGTGACCTACACCTGCTCCTGGTTCTTATGTTCTAACGTAAAAATTCCAATATAGATTCTCCTGGATCTCGAATTGCTGAATAATATCAATAGCATCTCAGAATTAAAGGAGACGTGGCACCATAATATTCCTTAACTGAATCTGTTAACTCTTGAATGGTTTTTGTATCTGGTGCCCCAGAAGTTGGTAGCCTTCTAATAACTGAAAAAAACTGCGGGTCCACAAGCTGTCAGGAGAATTACTCACTGCTTTCCATCTGTCCCAATGTCACTTGTCCCGAAAAAGATAACACATTCTTTCCACATACTGGGTCCAGCCTTCAATGGCAGGATCAAACAAGTCAAGCTTCCTGTAAAGGCATGATGCCAGAATGCTTGCCCCAACTCAAAGACAACAGTTGTGAGTGAATTTCTTCAGTAGTGTATTTTGTTCTTGTGACACTGTGGAAATAACTCAACAGAGAACAGTATCCCGTCACCAAATCACCCTTTATTTGCATGTGGATGGTCCTTGACACTGATACAACTTCCTCAGAGCCAGCTCTCAGAGTAACTAGAATCCCTGACACTCCACTTTATAACTGCCAGCAAGGGTTCCCTGATTAGACTAGGTTAACAACTGCAATCAGGAAACTCATATTCTATGAGATCCACCTGGCTGAACTTATTACAATCACTACTCCACCCATGTACTAGCTTTCTGTGTTTGTCAGGTTGCATTGTGTTGCAGCTTTCTGCAGCATTCTCCATTTAAATTATGCCCTTTTTTCCCCCTTCCAAGATGAACTTTACATTTTCCCATTTGCCAACTTTTTACCCAATTACTTAACCTATCAATATTTTTCTGTAAACTTTTTGTATTCCTCCTGAAACCTGCCTGTCCAGCTATTTTGTGTCATCTACAAATTTCACCATCATACATTTGATTCCCTCCAAGTCATTAAAACAATTGTGATCCCAGCACTGATCCCTGTGGAACCCCAATGGTTATGGGTTGCCAACCTGAAAAAAGAACCCCTTATCCCCACTTTACCTACCCATTAGCCAATTCTCTATCCACACCAATAGACTACATCCAACACCAAGACCTCTTACGACTTAACCTTTTGTGAGTTACCCTGTTGAACGCCTCCTTCAATTCCAAATTCAACACATCTACTGGTTCCTCTCTATGCACTCTGATTCAAGCTTTCTCAACAAATTCGAATAAATTAGTCAGCCACGATTTCCCTTTCATGAAGCCATGATGACTCTGAGTTTATGATCTTCCAAAATTTGCTGCTAGTACTTTCTTGATAATTAATTCCAACATTTTTCCAGCAAAAGATGTTAAGTTGATTGACCTCGAGCTTTCTGCTTTTTGCCACTCTCCCTTTCTGAATACGGGTGTCACATTGGTAGTTCTCCAATCCTCCAGCACGTTTTTTTCCCAGAAGCCAAGGATTTTTGGAAAATTACAACCATTCTATCCGTTGTTACTTATTTTAGGATTCCTGGATGCATCAGGATGAAGGGTCTTATCTGTCTTTAAATCCATTAGTTTGTTTGATCCTACTTCTTCAGAGTTGGTTCTTAATTCCTCCCCTACATTCTTTAGTGTTGATAGGATGTTTGAAGTACCTTTCAGCACAAAGACTGATGCTAAATAGTTGTTTAATTTCTGTGCCATTTCTTTGTTCACCATAACTATTTTCCCAGATTCATTTTCTTTTGGGTTGATGTTCACTTTGACTGCTCTCTTCCTCTTTATATATTTAAAGAAGCTCTTCTTGTCACTTTTATATACCTTGCCAGTTTGCCCTCATAATTTATTTTCTCTCCCTTTCTTAACCTTTTCGTCTTTCTTTGATGGATTCTGAATTTATCCCAATCGTTGGGGCTATCACTGACTTTTGCCTCCTTATATGTTTATTCTATTAACTTTATACTCACTTTAATTCCTTGGTTAGCCATGGTTAGTTCATCCTTTTATTAGAATTTTTCCTCCTTACTGGGATATATATGTTTTGCCGAGAGTCAAGAATTACCTTCTTAAATGTTTGCCAGAGCTTGCTTTCTGTCTTTCTTCCAAGTCCACTTAGCCAACTCTTCCCTTATTTCATTGTAATTCCCTTTAATTAAGTTGAACATATTTGTTTCTGGTCCAAGTTTCTCAGTCTCAAACTGAATATTAACTGTTTATTTACCTTATCCATGCCCCTCCTGATTTTATAAACCTCTTTAAAGTCACCGCTCAGCCTTTGACACTGCAGGGAAATTAGCCCCAGCTTATTCAGCCTCTCCCTATCGCTTAAACCCTCCAACCCTGGCAACAATTCCTTTGGATTCTCCTTCACCCTATTTGCCAAAGTTATCTCATGTCTCTTTTTTGCCGTCCTGATTTCCCTCTTAAGTATACACCTACTGCCTTCATACTGTTCTTGGGATTTACTCAATCTCTGCTGTCTAAATTGGAGGAAGGCAAATTTGACGGTATTAGGCAAGAACTTTCAAAAGTTGATTGGGGACAGATGTTCGCAGTTAAAGGGATGGCTGGAAAATGGGAAGACTTCAAAAATGAGATAAGGAGAGTCCAGAGGAAATACGTTCCTGTTAGGGTGAAGGGCAAGCCTGGTAGGTATAGGGAATTCTGGATGACTAGAGAAATTGAGGTTTTGGTCAAGAGTAAGAAGGAAGCATAAATCTTCAGAGACAGTAAGAACTGTTGATGCTGGAGTCAGAGATAACACAGTGTGGAGCTGGAGCAGCACAGTAGGCCAGGCAGCATCAGAGGAGCAGGAAAGTTGACGTTTCGGGTCGGGACCCTTCTTTGGAGATTGAAATGTCAACTTTCCTGCTTCTCTGATGCTGCCTGTTCTGCTGTGCTCCTCCAGCTCCACACTGTTATTAGCATAAATCCTCCTTTCTTTTGTCTTCCCAAGTCGCTGACTACATCACTAAAGTTCTACCTCCCCTCCCTAGATCTGAATCTGACCTATTTATGCCTACACTTGGTTCCCATTTCCCTGCTCTGCTAGCTTAAAACCTGACCAACAGAACTAGCGGAAGACCCTCGTAGACATTGTCCCACCTTCTCCAGAAATGGTCCCAAAGCCTCAAGAATCTAAACTCCTCCCTGGTACTGCATTTCTCCAGCCACACATTCATCTGATCTGTCCTGTTATTCCTGCTCTTGCTAGAATGTGACACTGGGAGTAATCCTGGATCTTTTACTCTGTGGTATTTTATTAAATCTGCCTCATGACCCATTACTAGATCCACATAGCCTGTTCCCTGGTTGGCTCCATGATATATTGTTCCAAGAAAGTATTCTAAACTAAAAGAAATGAGAAGCTCTAGGAAATCATCCTTTGTTGACCTTTCATTAGTTTAATTTTATACTTTCATCGATATTAGTTTGGAATTGTGAACTGAGAACTGTGAGCTGAAGCTCACCTTTGGACTGTGGGCAACAGTTTGCATAAAAAGGGGAGAGAGAACAAATTTTTTTAGTGTTGGTAAGGTAAGTTTTTTTTGGCAATCTAGAGTAGAGGGAATCTTTTTTTCCCTTTTTTTGCTTTTTGGGGTGGGAAGCTGTCGGAAGGAGGAAAGTATCAACAAATTTAATTAACTCTATTATAATAAATTATATAAATTAATAAAGTAATTAACTAAGTAGAAATGGCTGGACAGGTGATGTGTTGTAGCTGTATGATGTGGGAGCTGGCTGATCCCATTGCGAACTGCAGTGACCACATCTGCAGCAAGTGTTGGTTGCTCGAGGAACTTCGGCTCAGAGTTGAAGAACTGGATCGGAGCTTCAAACACTGCAGCATATCCGTTGGGGGAGGGGAGAAGTACCTGGTCGATTTGTTTCAGAAGGCAGTCACACCTGGTAGATTAAGTAATTCAAATTTGGTCAGTGGCCAAGGACAGCAGGATGTGACTGTAAGCGAGGCAGGTAGAGGGATCCTGCAGTCGGCAACAGAACAGCCTCAGCTCTTGACCTTGTCCAACAGGTACGAGGTACTTGCTGCCTGTGTGGATGAGGAAAAGAGCTGCAGGGAGGATGAGCCAACTGACCACTGCACCGTGGCACGGGAGGCCATTCAAGAGGGGGGAGCAAAAAGACAATTGGTAGTTGTAGGGGATTCTATAATTAGGGGGATAGATAGTATCCTTCATAAGCAGGATCGAGAGTCCTGCATGGTGTGTTGCCTGCCCGGTGCCAGGGTAAGGGATATCTCTGACCGGCTTGAAAGGATATTGGAGTGGTAGGGGGAGGATACAGTTGTTGTGGTCCACATCGGAACAAACAACATAGGCAAGACTAGGAAAGAGCACCTGTTCAGAGATTATCATGAGCTGGGAACCAAATTAAAGAACAGGTCCTGAAGGGTTATAATCTCCGGATTACTGCCCAAGCCATGTGCTAATTGGCATAGGGACATGAGAATAAGAGAAGTAAACATGTGGCTAAAAGAGTGGTGCAGGAAAGAGGGGTTCTTTTTCATGGGGCACTGGCATCAGTATTGGAACAGGAGGGATCTGTACCGTTGGGATGGTCTCCATTTGAATCGAGGTGGGACCAATGTTCTATGGAAAAGGGAAAACAGGCTGGTCAACAGGACTTCAAACCAGAAAGTCGGGGGGAAGGGAATGGTGAAACTTGCCCCGGTGGGAAACAAAGCAGCAGGTTAACATCTGTAGTGGTGGATACAATTAAGTGGAAAAATATGAAAGAAATGACAGAGAAGGAAAATTCAGGAGAGGTTATTAAAGTCTCCAGCGCAGACACAAATAGGACAGAGTGTTTGGAAAAGGCTAGCATTCAAACACTGGAAAAACGAATGAAAATGAGAAGAGGGAGGGTTAATACAGGACTGAAGGTGTTATATCTAAATGCACGCAGTATGAGAAATAAGGTAAATGAGCTTGTGGCGCAGATCAAAACTGGCAGGTATGACGTGGTAGGCAAAACGGAAACATGGCTGCAAGGGGATCAGGATTGGGAACTGAATATCCAAAGATATACATCCTATCAAAAACTTAGGCAGGTGGGCCAACGGGGTGGGGTTGCCTTATTAGTGAGAATTGAAATGAAATCAATAGGAAGAAACGAAGTTTCTGTGTGATGAAGATTAGCCAAGGAACTACAAAGGAGACTCAGGCACCTAGTCAACAAGTCATCCCACTCAATCCACTCAGCCCAAGAATTCCTCAACTCCATCAAAGACATAAGGATAAACGACGAGGAGACCATGATATCATTTGATGTTACTGCCCTATTTACATCAATAGACATACCACTAGCAAGGGAAATAATGACAGCACTACCGAAACAAGAGCAAGACCCCAGTGAAACCATCTCCACAGACAACATGCTCAAACTACTGGACCTATGCCTCACCACCCACTTCACTTTCAATGGCCAAACATACAAACAAATCAATGGGACACCCATGGGATCACCTGTCTCTGGACTCATAGCAGAGGCAGTGATGCAAAGACTAGAAAGGACTGTCCTTTCGCTAAACCAACCAAAACTATGGATACGCTATGTGGACGACACCTTTGTCATCATGAAATGGACCAAACTAGAGGAGACACACAAACTTATAAACAACACCGAAATAAAATTCACCAGAGAGGAGGAGAAGAACAAACAGCTCCCATTCCTGGACATCATGGTAGAGCGCAAGATAAATGGGGAACTCCAAATGAAAGTACACAGAAAAGCCACACACACGGACCAGGTACTGAACTTCAACAGTAACCATCCCAACACACACAAACGAAGCTGCATGCGAACACTATTTAAACGGGCAACAATACACTGCAGCAACGCAGAACTATGCCAAGAGGAAGAAGAATACCTCTTCCAGGTTTTCAAGGATAATGGATATCCAAAAAATTGGGTCAGAAGATGCAACATCAGGAAGATACTACACACCTCGACACACTCATCACACTACCCTACATCAGGAACACATCGGAACTAACCACAAGCCTCCTTCGGCTGCTGGGCATCAGAGTGGCACACAAGCCCACATCAACCCTACGACAACTGCTCACCCGAACTAAAGACCCGCTCCCCGCCATGGACAGGACCAATGTCATCTACAAGATCCCTTGCAGAGACTGCGAGAAACACTACATTTGACAAACAGGAAGGAAACTAACAACAAGGGTACTCGAACACCAACCGGCTACAAAAAGACACGACTGATACTCACTCATCTCAATCCACAGGGAAATGGACAACCACCAATTCGACTGGGGCAACACCAAATCCTGGGACAAGCTAAGCAGAGACAGGCACGGGAATTCCAAGAACCCTGGCACTCCACAAAGAAAGCCATTGATAAACACATAGAACTCGACCCCTTATACACTCCACTAAGAAGGAAAACCGGAAGTGAGGCAATCCAGCTCAACGGACTCCAGAGTTTAAAAACCAGGCGGGAAAACACACCGACACTTCACTGGAGGCTGCACTGATGATGTTACCCAGCATGGCAACGAAATGTCTGCGGAACAACAAACCAGCTCGGTGAACCAACCAACCTCATGTAGTCAGGAGCAGAATGTACCAGGAGATGGAAAAGGTGTGTAAGAAAGGCAAAGTCACAGTGATCATGGGGGTTTTCAATATGTAGGTGGACTGGGAAAATCATGTTGGCAGTGGATTGCAAGAAAAGGAGTTTGTGGAATGTCTACGAGATGGCTTTTTGGAGCAGCTCATGGTGGAGCCCACAATGGAAC